TTATTAAAGTTCATGAAAATAATATAACAATTTATGAACAAAAATGGTGAAAACATATTTTTACAGTTGAATTAAACTTAGATTGCTTATTTTAATTGAAATAGTATTCAGTCTTCAGTATTTTCTTCAAATAAGTCATTCCTGAAAATACGATTAACAAGCTTCTACTCAAGCCTACTTTCCCAAACAGGCTTACAGACAAGTTTGCAAATTCCTTTTTCAAAACAAAGCTGTCTGAAGTGAATATTCCAGAGCTGTCAGAATAGCTGTTTGAACTTGATGCCCGACCTAAGCTACGTCCAACAGTAACATCGTTGATAGGCAGTTTTTCAATATCTCGGTATTAATAAAAAAAAAAATCTCCTGGACCTCTAAGTCATGCAAATGACACAGACCAGTTTCTACGTCTTGCATGAAAAAGGGTGGAATAGAGCTGAGGAAGTGTACTGTCATGGCTACATATTTTTAGAGGGCACCTTTAATAGCACAATGTAAAGAACATACAGCTCTTTCATCAGTGGCTTATATGTATTACTACAGGCATGAATTTCGTGCCTTACATGCAATACATACAAGTAATGCCTGAACACATGAGAAATCTCACATCTCTACAGTGTACTAATTTAAAAGTTTTATCTATCATTTAAAATCTTTAACAAATCTTTTGACAGCTAATTAGCATTCAGTATCTGGTTTAACTCAACAAAGAGGCAAGAAGTAATTGGATTTAAATGGATTACAGTAAAATTGATTATGACAATTAGAAAATACTTTTAAATAGCAAACTATCATGATAGAACTCAATTCCATGAATTGTGGCCAAATATACAAAAATACATAAGAAATATGCAAGTAATTGACCTTAATCTTATTTAACTTCTGATTGTGGGGGCCCTTGAACAGAAACACCAAGAAATTCCTCTTCCGATTAAGTAGCAGACTTTTGTTTATTGTGGTACTGCTAACCTGATGCAAATAAGATGTTTTCATGGCCCATTTGAAAGGTGTAAGAATTTTCATTCTGAAACTAAATTGCTATTTTATCTTCACTGTAAGTTTTCAGTACGGTTCTTACTCTTAGTCACTGTGGGCTACTTCCTTGTAAAATAATCTAAAGGTAACAGTTACCAAAGTCATTGTTCATACTGCAGGTTTCTTGCTTCTTCAACTAACTTGTGTAAATCCAGGTGTCTAAGTAGCCACTTCCTTCTTGGCATCTGTTTACTTTGCTCCTGCACAACCAATTTACAGTTTCATGGTTTTTCCATTTACAAATCACATTTTTCATCATAGTGCTAAATATCTGTTGTTTTTGTTCTGAGTCTATCTTGAATCCTGGCAGACTTCACAAGCCAACTATGAGATCTAACTATCTAAGGCTTTCCTTTCAGCCCAGCTTTGTAAAACATTCCAAACATGTAAAATTATTTCTCTCTGACTTCTCCAGACAGGTCTGAGATTATTTTCCTGTATGATTTCAGCTCGTGAACATGTAAGTCAGTAACGTGGAAAGCTGATTCTCCCAAAAGAAGCAGTCCAATGGCATCAATTCTTAAAGGATTTCTGCTGTAATTACTTGTTATTGGGCCACTAATTCTCTTTAAAATCATGAAATATTATATTAAGGAGAAAAGCTTAATCCTTTTCAAAGCATTCAGTTGTCTAGGCCAGCATTGCCCATTTACTAGGACAAAAGCAATTTTTGGCAGTATTAATAATGCTCAGGAACAGCAGAACTGTTTTCTGTTAGGAAAAAATAATTCATGCAGGGAACGATGCTGTGCTGGGAGATGTCCCCTGTGGAATTTCTCAAGGGCTGAAGACAATTGCAAAACTCATAGGCTTTTTGGTAAAATGTGTAATGGATTTTGACCTCACCTCATTAAGCAGCAGTACATAATGCATTATGTTTAAAACCCTCAACTTGCAAAATAAACATTTTACAACAGTGTAAAAATGGAACAGAGAAGAACAGGAATCCTATCTTATTTTTAAATTACATGCTTCTGGAAATCATTCTGATTGAAATGTCTAAAACATGCAGGTATATACATATGAGAAAGTCATCCCATGCTTTCTTTCTTTCTCTTTTGATGAAGAGAAGTTAAACCCATCTAAGGTGCAGTTCATTGGATGTCTAAAATTCACCTCTAAAATAAGTCAGACAAATAATTCCCAACAGGTTTATCTATCTCCGTTGACCATAAAGGGAGTCCCCAGGTTGACTGGCTCAGATATTCAATGCTGCATTGTGAGATGAATTCCAGTGTTAGAGACCATTGTGATGAGGCTGCATAAAACTGGAAGACGTGAAAATTAATTGGCAAATTCTTTGGCAAATGGTGCTTCTACTACAAAATTTACCTTGAAGATGTAGGAAACAGCAACACATGGAAGAGGCAAAGCAATCTGTCTTGTGATGAGGGCTTCTGATACTACAGAAATTTCTGTAGCTGTCATATATCTTATTTTTTGTTCAACTGACACTTAACAAGTATGTGTAATGAAGAAAACAGTAAGAAGCTGGGTACCATGTATTAGGGTATATGTAATTTGTCATGGTTTAGGAATGATATTCTCCAGTTTAGTGTTCCCACTGATACACTCCAATCCACACACTGCTTGCTCACTCCCTCTCCTCCCCCCCTTGCAGCAGGCTGGAGAGGAGAACTGGAGGTACAAAAGGTAAAAATCATGGATTGAGATAAGAACAATTTACTAGAAACAACAACGAGACAAGAAACTTACAGTAACAGCAATAATACTAGTAACAGTGTACAAGAAAGGTGAACGATCCAGATGCAAGTGCTCACCACTGGGAAAGCAGCAATACCCTGTGCTCAGCATGCACAGCATGACCCTGTCTCTCCTCCTTGCCACCACTGGCAATGATGTGAGGTGGTATAGGATAACCCCAGGGTCCTAACCATGCCCCTCCTGGGTACTGCAAAAATTGGCCAGAACCAGGACATAGTTGTACTATACATGAGCAAGAACTGCACAGGTTATTTCTCAAAGTATATCTCTTGGTGTTACCAGGTAACAGTTAACAGGTGTAAGTTATGTGTTAAGAAGAGGTCTGTGTGGAAGTGAGAGTAAAGGTTTGTCTAAGCATTGTATGTATAAATATCCCAATATCTCATGGCAGAGCATGGTAACAGAGGTTTAAGATAAGGGTCAACTTCTATGTGAGTAATATGGTTTATGATACAACAATTGCATGAAAAAAAATAATATCAACTCAAGTTTATGCTGTATTCTGTAATCAGTGCTATGTGCTTGAGTAATACACAGAGCTGAAATACAAAATCTGTTTTAAACAAACACAGTTCAAGTGGTGAATATTAAGTAACATCTTGTAAAACTACAATGTTTTGCAGTAATATTAAGCCAAATTATTTTAGAACCTATGATTCTTCACTATTAAATCATTATACTATTTTCAGCAATGAAAAGATTTATATAGACAGTCCATGAGCAACTGAGACTGGTAACAGAAAAAATTAATTACAATATCTTGTACATTATTGTACCATAATGCCTGTAGCAAAGTTGCATTATGAACTACCAATGATTTCGTCTAGTTTTTGAATGCAAATAAACAGCAAATTAAATTATTTTTTTTAGTGGAAGTGCAGAAATAAGGTGACTACTGCAGATATATATAAAGAGATAATACATGAACTTCTGTTCAATTGTAAACTTACTCTGTCTTGCTAGGAAGCTACAGGAACAAAAGATGACATCTTAAAATGAGGGTTAGAACTGAGAGCCACAAGCTTGTTACAGATACAGAATGGCTCTGCAGAAAACTTGAAAAGAGCTTCTGTAACTTTACTTAAAGTAATTCAGCAGCTAAGCAAGGATGTAATTTGATCATATTTTGAAAGTTGTGTGAGCAGAGCATGGTGATCTCATTGATAGGAGGAAATTCAGACTTGAGAGAAGACCTTGTATGAAACCTTCCTGAAGGCACTTTCATTTGGGAGCATTTTATTGTAGTAAAGTGGACCAGGTTTTGGATGTAAGATGCCTGTGGACATACCTGGCTCATGAGAAGGGCTTGATCTTTCAGTACCTATGTTCTTTTTGACATCCATGACTGGGTTGGGCTTTTTTTTGCTTTCTATCAGTGAATTAGCAGATATTGCCCACTGTTTTTCTTGATAAGCAGCTTCAGCTGCTGAGTTTTTATTCTTTTGGCTGAAACTGTAAGCTTTAATGAATGTTTTGAATTGTTGGTGATCTCTGTGCTGTAAAGGTGGAACTTAGTAAATATCCTCATGTTTTAAGAAAATGCAATCTTTTAAGATTCCTTTAAATTCAAAGAATGCTTCTTTATAGTATAAAGTGAAGTTGTTTAAATCCAGTAAGTAATGTTTTTATTGTTGATATATCTTTAAATAAGATTATCTGATGAATTGAGAAATCATTAATTCTTGTATGTTGCTAAGCACTATTTAATTTCTTTACATACATATTCTGAAGCTTAATATATACTGGCATTCTAACTGATACACAGTTAAGTTTGGCAACACAGAGAATGCATTTTATTAGAGTCAAGGATAGAGTATGGAGAAGTCTTTTTGAACATGTGCTTCCAAGGTACTGTTACCACTTGTAACTATTTTTACAGTAAAATAATATTGTTCTGTGAGCCACAGATTATGATACGATCCCATGAAATATTTTGTGATGGAAGAATTAGAATATTATGACAAATGGGAGGAAAGTGTTACCATTCTTTATAGGATTTAAACCTCCTGAAAACAGCAGTTGATGCAGTTCATATATTAAAACTTCACGTTGTGTGTACCAAAAGCCAAGATGTAAATTGAGTGGAACATGATGAAAATGCTTTCCGGGTAAAACTTCATACGAGTTTCCAGTTTCTAGTAACTTGCTATTACGATTATATCTTCATATTTCCTTGGAGTATTATACAAATATTTTCATTTAAATCAAGAAACTAAGCAGTCCTTTTTTTTTCCTTTACATAGCAGATGGTACGTGAACAATACACTACGACAACACCAGGCACTAGCCTAGAGAGGCCGAAGAATGAATATGTCTACAAAATTGGAATTTATGGCTGGAGAAAGCGTTGCCTCTACCTGTTTGTTCTCCTCCTGCTTATCATCCTAGTTGTGAATTTTTCTTTGACAATTTGGATTCTTAAAGTGATGTGGTTTTCCCCAGTAAGTGTCCTTTTTAATTTTCCATTCTTCTCATTTTCTCTTCCTTTCCCTGCCTCACCACTTCACTTATTTTGTATGTACCTCAGCTTCTCTGTCTGTAATAGATGTTTCTTTTTTCTTTCTTCTCAACTGTGATTTGTACTTTTTATTTCAGAAATATCTATCTTTGAACAAATTTCCTCGTGTAATTTCTGTACTGACAATAATTTTTGAAATACTGAGGTTGTTGATACCTTATATTGTAATGAATTCTAACCATTCTATGAGAATGTGTTTTACTGCTGTCTTATAGTCTCTGCTTAGTTGATATTTTATAAACGTGTTTGCTGTAATTTTATCTCATACAGAATTCCTTAGTGTTAAAATATTGCAGACAGTTTATGGTTATTTAGCTTCTCCTATTTATCAGCATCTAAAATCTAACAATTTATTTGCCCAGTTAATTACAACTCAGAAGTAATTATCACTACATCACACTTGAAGCTAAGCAGCTATATAATTCGGAAATAAATTTCATAGCTTTCCACTGTCATATAATATAATTTTGCATGTAGTAGGTTAAAGGATAAGTTTTAGAAGGTTGCAAAATATGGCTTCAGTTATGCAATAAAATGCATTAGTGAATATTGACGCTAAGCTAATTTAGTCTGAACATGCAGTTGTGATACATAGATGATTTGAGTAGACTTGTTATAAGAAAAACAATAATAATAAATTTCTACATTCTGCCTTGGCTATTGAAGAAAGTAGCTAAAGTTTCCATTATCTATTGTTAATACACTTCTGTCACTAAATGAAGACCAGTTCTAGGGAAATAGCTAAGTTTCAGGTAAGTATCAACCATAAATACATTTGTGCAAAGTACATGTGTATGTCACAATCCTCAGAAAAAGTACGTGACACCATTACGAACGTCATTGAGAACTTTTTACTGAGTATTGTTTTAATAACTACATCTGTCAATACAAGAATTAACTCTGAAGGTACCCAGACAATCATAGAGAAGCACTGCTAGCTGCTAAGTCTAAGAGTGTAGATGTTAACTGCAAGTTCGAAGTCTAGAAGTATAATTGGGAAGACACTCTTTCAGTATTGTGCTTTAATGATTGATCAACATGGCTCTGTAGCACAGCCCTTTCATTAGCCCACTCAAAGTTGACCAACTTGTTATTTTGACATTGAAGTTTCTTTTATAGTATGAAAATTGTTCTCTTTTTCTGTAAAGCATCCTTAAATCTTTCATTAAATAATAACTTGCAGTATACAAAAATAACATGCTATGTCTATATCCAAATTAAAATAATGATGAAATTATAAAGAGAGCTTCAGCAAGCTCTGGCCTAGAATTAATCTATGCACACATGTCCTGGCTCAAACCCAAAAAAATCAGACAGTTTGATAAATACTAGCCAAGGAGCTAAGCTAATAAAGGAGAACATGAACAAGACACAGATATGCTGCAAGAGGAATAGATTTTGATCTCCTTGTAGGAATTTGGAAGAATGATAAAGGACAGAAAATTTTCTAAACCCCATTGTTTGAGAGGCCTTCAGCATTAAATGAAGATAAGTTGAAGAGAATTTCATTCATTTCATAAAATCTAGACTAAAAGAGAACAACCTGAACAGAGAATATATTCTTTTTCTTGTACAGCCCCAATTACAAAACATATGAGCATCTCCAGATTGTGCACATTGGTTCACAGGTATCAGATATATCTCATTCTTTTTTTCCTTTTCTCTCTTGGAGTTCAGGGGGACAGAGTCTCAAGTTTTTTTGTACAAGTGAGAGAAGAAACCTGTGAATTCATTATATTCGGTTGTTTCAGAGAAAAAAGAGTCAAATAATTATGCCTTGAGCTTGTTGAATAAGTTGAAATAGAGTAATTTAAAAACTAGCATTATTTTTGCATGAAGATCAGTTTGAAAAATGGTTGGGTTTTTTCCCCCTGGACAACATATCAAATTTTACATGTAATGGAAATTCCACATTCTGTTCTTAAAATAATGAAACTTTCTGAGAACTAAAGGGGACTGCTAGCTGTAAAAGTTTAGAAACTGAGAATCCTAAGGGATTTAGAGCTACAACAAGGTGAGGATGTCAGAAGTCCTGTGGAAAATTCTGAAGGGTCCGATAAGTCTGAAAGAGGGGAACTTTAATATGTCTCATGTCTGCTGAAAGGACAGGCATGGCAGGATCAAAACAATGAAAATTTCTAGAAGGTGTCAGTAGTAGTTTCTCGATAGGATAGTTAAAGGTGGCACACAGCTGGCTCTGCTACTTGTGGGATCCCACGGGACCCAGATCTCATAAGTTAATCAGAAAAGCTTGATGAAATTTAAGGACAGTATCTTCCAAATGCAGGAATGATCTGTCCTGATATTCAGGAAGATAAGTAACCTGGCTTAGCTAGGCAGGTTACTTGTGATGGGGCTTCAATGCAAAAAGCAGTATTAGAGAATATTCTGAGTTGGAAGGGAAGCACCATAGAGTTCAGCTCGAGTGAATGGCCTGTACAGGGATTGACCCCACAACCTTGGTGTTATTAGCATCATGCTTTAACCAGCTGAGCTGATCTCAGGGTATAGAAGAGTTTGAAGCAAAGACAGTCTACGAAGAAGAAATTTAGAAACATTGTCTGGGCCAGGAAATGTGTCAGGCTTCCGCCCAGGAAAGCCAAAACTCAGCCTCAGTTAAGAATTACAAAGAGCAAATGGCAACAAGGTGGTCTGCGTCCATAGAGAGAACTGTCTGATTCCGTTGCAAAGTCACCCTCTGCAATGTTTGACAGGTTTTGGAGACTGGGGAAATCCTCGATGACTGGGGGCATGCTAGTGTTGCACTTGTGTTCAAAAAGGGAGGCCATGGATTTACTAAGGGTGAATGATGCCTGACCAATGTGATTACCTTCTATGATAAAATGTCTGAAGTTAGGGAGGGCATGAGATATCATTTACCCTGATTTCACCAAGGCTTTTGTCTCTCTCTCCCACAATATCCTTGAACCCTAGTTAGGAGATTACAGCCATGAAAAGTGGAAAACAGCTAAGTACAAAAAATAAACTGCCTGGATAATCAGGCTTGGAAGGTAGATACTAATGTATTGTAGTCTACATGGAGGCCAGTAATAAGCACTGCAGTTGTCTTGTCACTGGTCCTTTTCAACAACTTTATCAATTACTTGAAAGAGGTGGCAGAATGCTTGCTCACTAGGTTTTCAGATTATACCGATTTGGGTGTACCATTCAATACTTTCAAGGCTCAGGCTGCTATTCAGAGCAGCTTAGACAGGCTGGAGCTATGCTAGTCCTGGTCCAGGATTGTCTAGTGCTCTAAAACTCAGGTGTGAAAAATGCACCTGGGCAGATGATTACCACTTCTGATACTCTAGCAAATCTTATTCAGAAACCCCTGATTAATTCAGTTATTATATTATTTAGGTTCTTCTACATTATCATAACACCAGGAACAGTTGTGTATCAAAGATTATTCCTAATGTGTCTTATCCTCTTATGGAGAAACCCATGTTTTCCATGGATTTTAGTAGATGCCCTAGCTATCATAGTCTCCTGGAATAAGAAAGGTGCTTGTGCTCTTTTATGTTGATAAGGGTTGATAAGGAAAGACAGTAATGCAACTAGGGTATTCCCTAGGGTAACTAGTTGCCTTCCTTCAGCATGGAGTTTGGCACATAGCACCAACTTTTCTCTGGCAAAAACTTTAAGCACAGTGTAAGAGAAGTAAACAGGTTTTGATAGTTTTAGATGCACTGTCAGTCAAACATGATTCGAATTTGCACTCAATCCCAAGTTTTCCTGCCATCCATGTTAAACCTTACTTGGGTTTGAGTCAGTAACAAGAAGAAAGTCAAATCCCAATACTAAGCCTTAGAACACCACAAGCCGTCAGGACAGGAATTAACTAGGTATATGGAGGGCCAAGCGCACAATATCCAGTCCATCAATGCATATTCTAAGGATGGCTTTTCCCGAGAACAGGACAAATGTTGAACCTGCTCTTGTGCCTGCACTTCAGCGGGACATAGAGACATAGGCAACAAGAATTGGGAGGGTATCTGCACATTTAAGCTAGAGCATGGACTTCACTTTTATGCACATAAATTTCTGGCACTGGAGTAAAAACGAAAATTGCTACAGTTAAACAAAAAAATTACAGGGTTTTCCAAATATTATTCACAGGTGGTTTCTTCCTGTAGCTTACTTGTAATTAGTGACTCCTCTACCTGTGTAGCTATTCCCAGAAATTTTATCACAGACATAGCACCTTTTAATCTTTTTGGGTTCTGATAAGCAATTAACAATTAATATAGACCAAGTATTAAAAATGATTTTTTAATTATTTTCCAAAGTTTTCTATAAGGCAATAATGATTTCTTGATATTTCAGCAATAACAATTTGTTAATATTTCATTTAATAAGAAATGTTGAAAAGGAAACTATGTATAATCTTGCTATATATACATATTGGTTGGCTGATAATGATGCTGGTCTAAATCTACAAATACCATATGTATTTTGAAATAAAATAACTAATTTTATAATCAAATGCTTGTGTAAACAACTATTTAAACAGTTGACAAATTCAGGCAACAAAGACGGAGGGAATTACTTAAAGAAATATAAAATACGAAACTAGGAATGTGATTAATTAAGAAAGCAAAATTTTAATACCTAACACTTTCTGACAGTGAGACTTGCTACACTGTGTAATATCATGCCTTATTACATTGGAGATGTTCAGTTGTTTGAAACATTTAAAATCAGACCAGACAGCAATGAAAATGTACAGTAAAGAACACTTATTCACAGCAAGAGTTCTCCTTCACTACAAAGACATATACTAGTGAACTTGTACAGGCTTTCAATGCATTTTGTGATTAACAGTGGATGCTCCATGGAATTAGTTGCCATTTTGAGAATGTTGCATTATTTTAATGCTCAAATGAAATAAATTATTTAATTATTCACAAATTCTCATCC